AATAAGATGCTGTAAATGTGTTTTGCATCATTTATCAGTTTATATATCAATTTAAAACCAAGAATTGACAACCAAGACCAACTAGAAAGAACACGGATAAGGTCCCTCTTAAATGTTGGGCACAGTAATAACCTATAAACAGTACTGCATGGGAACCAAGTTTCTTAGCCTGTGTGGGGTCCTCAGTGAATTCTAGAAGTTCACTAATTTTATTTATGAATACCAAACTTTTAGAACTCTTAATCACCTTCCACCTTTGTTGTAGGTAAAAATGGAAGTATATGGACTTTCCTCATTTGCCTGTAAGAACCAAAGAAAATGCTTGATCAGTTTTAATTCCATCAGTGCCTCTCAGACTATATTTTGTTAGCCATGGTTCTCAATTACCTTCCCTCCATCAACACTTCTTTAAATCCTTACAAGATTGCTACTTTAGCGTGAACAACCACGCTGGAAGTGATATGAAGGAGGAGAATGGATCTACAAATGAAAGGATATTTTGTATTTGACATTTGAGATTGTCTTTCCTTTCTGGTTTTGCATTTTACACTTAGCAATGAAATATCTTTTATTTAAGAGGGGAAATAAAGAGATACCTGTTTGATGTGGTGCCTGCTTGTAACTGTCTTCTCACTCCATGAGAGGTGCCCTGTGAATGTGCGACCTGTGCACACAGTGTCTGGGTAAAGGAAGCTGGGAGTCACATTGGGAACCTGGGTTCACAACAAAAGAGTGAACAGTGACTAACTCCTCCTTTCCCTCAGACAGAACCAAGCAACCACATTCAGTCTGGAGCAAGGACAAATTTTATTATGCTGACTAAAATCTGTGTGATAATGGGATTTCAATCTAGAAGGGCTTACTGAAGAAAAATATCTCCTAGTTATACAGCTGCTCTCTGAATTGGAATGTGGAATCATTTATCCACTGGACTGGCATGATTTGGAAGGGTTGCTTGAGAGTGACCTCTGAGTAAGACAGACATGCAAAGCTGGCAGCCTCTCACCTCAATTTCTTTGGCTTGGGCACTTGTGCCCCCATATCCTAATCACAGTTTTCTAGATGTCCATCTTTCTATTAGAGTCTCTTTGCCTGTGTGGCCATCTTTTTATGTAGGAACTCTTTAAGATGACCCTTAAAGAATCAGTTCTGCTCCTCAGAATACACATTTGATCTCTAGGAACTTCATACCTTGCTCCCACTGGGGTGGAAGTGCAGCTTTGTCCTGAAGGAATTGAAGAATAATTGAAAGATTATAAACAAGGATGTAATGTAATAAGTCATTCACTTATACAAAGAGCACTGCAAAGGGTGAGGACAGGTGAGCCTGGAGGCAAGGAAGCAAACTAAATCACAGTTGCAGAGACCACACAACAGCTGATGAGGGTCCCTTGGCAATGGTGAGGAGGAGATGGATAAAAAAAATACTCATGTTTTAAGTTTATGGAAGCACTGTTTACAATAGCCAAGCTATGGAATCCAGCCTAGGTGTCCAACAACCAAAGAAAAATATGGTATACAATGAAGCTGAGTAAAGAAAATATGGTATACAATGAAGCTCCCTATAGCTATCTTAAACAAACAAGAAATGCCTTTTTTAAAAAATGGAGAACAAGAAGGTAAAACAGGTCCTGTCTGGGTACTGGTACCAGTGGGAGGGAAAATGATACAAGGAAAGGGTATAGGAGGGGTGAATGAAGTGGAAATATAATGTACTCATGTATGTAAATGGAAAAATGAGGCATGTTGAAACTGTTCTAGGAATGGGGGTGGGTAAAGAAGAATGATGGAGGGGGTGAATTCAACTATGATATATTATAAGAACTTTTGTAAATGTCACAATATACCCCCAGTATAAAATATGATAATAAAAATTTAAAAAAGAAAACATGGTGCATCTATACAAAGGAGTATTATTTAACAATAAAGAGGAATGAAATTATGTCATTTGCAGGAAAATGGATGGAACTGGAGATCCATCACAATAAGGCAATCTCAGAAAGACAAATACTGCATGTTTTTGCTCATATGCAGAATCTAGACCTAACTAATAATAATGATGATGATATGACATGATTGTAAAAAGGTGCTGTCAGGGAGAACAGGAGAAGGAGAGAAAGTAAAAGGAGAGCATGACATGGGGTGAATAGATAATGTGTTATATATAGATCTATGAAAACAACGTATTGGAGCCCACTAAAAACTATTTAAAAGGAAGGTAAGGGGGAAGGAGTTAAGAAAGAGTAACATAGATAGAGTTGGATCAAAGTATATTATATGAATTGTAAATATCACAATGAAACCCCTTTGTACAATTAATTTATGGTAATAATTTTTTAAATTGTATGTTTTAGAAGTGATGGCATATGCTTGCAATCCCATCCACTAAGGAGGTAGAAAGGAGGAATGAGGTTCAAAGGCAGCCTAAGCAAAAGTTACCAAGACCCCATCTCGAAAACAAGCTGGGCATGGTAACTCCTGCCTGTAAAAAAAAAATGTTTCGCTGGTAAATGGATGGAATTGGAGAACATCATTCTGCGTGAGGTTAGCCTGGCCCAAAAGACCAAAAATCGTATGTTCTCCCTCATATGTGGACATTAGATCAAGGGCAAACACAACAAGGGGACTGAACTTTGAGCACATGATAAAAGCTTTAGCACACAAGGGAGGGGTGAGGATAGGTAAGACACCTAAAATATTAGCTAGCATTTGTTGCCCTTAACGCAGAGAAACTAAAGCAGATACCTTAAAAGCAACTGAGGAATAGGAAAAGGGGACCAGGAACTAGAGAAAAGGTGAGATCAAAAAGAATTAACCTAGAAGGTAACACACACGCACAGGAAATTAATGTGAGTCAACTCCCTGTATAGCTATCCTTATCTCAACCAGCAAAAACCTTTGTTCCTTCCTATTATGACTTATACTCTCTCTACAACAAAATTAGAAATAAGGGCAAAATAGTTTCTGCTGGGTATTGAGTGGGTAGGGGGGAGAGGGAGGGGGCAGAGTGGGTGGTAAGGGAGGGGGTGGGGGCAAGGGGGAGAAATGACCCAAGCGTTGTATGCACATATGAATAAAAAAAAAAAGTTTTAGATTTGAGAGAACTACTGACCAAGTGGCTGAGGAAAGTAAGTCACCTACCAAATGTCTTTTTGTATAGGGACATAATAAATGTAACCTTGAAACACTGAGATGGTAGCATAGCAATGATAGGAGTCATATTTGTCATCCCATACTTTTGATTTTTATCAGTTTTCCTTCTCACTACTTGGTTTGCAAACAATTTACAAGAAATTTCATTCTGTAAGATTATCATTAGTTTTGTCCTTTTCAAGGATTTACTTTGTATCTTTTCTTTTGAGTGTGTGGAATATATAGACAGCATCTGGCTCTGTAGGCTAATGTGAACCTTCCTTTGAAGTAACAGCTTCTCCACCCAGACCTAGTTCTTGTTTGTGTTAAAAGTTTGTCCCACAAACCTTGCCAGTTTCCATTTCAGGCTACACAGTCTGACACTGATTTTAAGCAGCTGCTTATGAATGTAGCATGTAGCAGTGATTGCAGTGACACACGGTGGGTTTCCATGTGAGATCGGGTTGCTCTGCGGCTTTCTTTGAATACCTCTTTCTTTCCTGCTTTTTCACCTACATTTCAGCTGTGAGAATAAATCTAGGGAAACTGCTGTTTGGCCTTTTAACACATTGCCAGCTTTGGCAATTGCAAACTAACTGGTTTTGTACTAAACACCACTGAAGTAAAATAAATTAGTCTGATGAAAGCTTGGCACCCCTGAACACTACAAATGTAAAACCATCAACAGATGCTATTTGCTGAAACTGAGGCTCCTCTAGCAGATGGAAGAAAGTTAAACACAAATTGCACTATTTCTTTTTCTCTTGGTTCATTTGTCTTTATTGTAATATAGAAAAAATTCTGCTATATTAGTTACAATAAACTTTTTGTAAATGTTTCATAACTGCTTTGGGTTTTCAGAGATCTTTGATCTTACAGTCATACTCTTCTTTATTATATGAATTCATTAAACATATAGAAACAATCTGTTTTAAAACTTCCTCTGGAGCTAGGCATCAGTGGCTCGTGTCTGTAATCCTAGCTCATTGAGAGGCTGAGATCAGGAGGATCACAGTTGGATGCCAGCCCAGGCAAAATAATGTTTGCAAGACCCCATTTCAACCAATTGCTGGGCACAGTGGTGCCTGTGACCCCAGACTACCAGGAGGCTGAGATTGGGACGATCACTGTTCCAGACCAGCCCAGGCAAAAATGTTTGCATGACCCCCATCTCACTGCAGAAAAGCTGAGCATGGTGGTATGTGTTGTCCCAGCAGTGGTGGAAAGTCTAAGCTAGGAGGAACGTGAGCCAGGTCAGCCTGGGCAAAAAGTGAGACCCTATCTCCAAAATAACCAGAGCAAAAAATGACTGGAGGCATGGCTCAAGCTATAGAGTACTTGCCTAGTAAGCTCAAAGCCCTGACAAAAAAAAAAAAAAGGAATTTCTAATATTTCTCATTTTGTCCTTGAATTTTATTTATAGTATTTTGGTTCCTCACATACCATTTTATTATTTAGGTAATATACACAGAGAAAGAGAATGGTGGCTTTGTTCTCCAGTTTAATGACATATACCATTTAATACAATCGCTGTTAATTGATATATTGACTTTCCAGAGCAATACTGGTGTTGAGTCATTTTCTATAGTATATAGATATTTCTTGACTTAGCACTAATTGTTTTTAAATCTAATTAATAGCTTATCTATCTGTAAAGAAAACTGCAATATATCTATTTTTAATCTTTCTGGGTCCCTAAGATTATTTATCAAATAATATTTATGAGAATAGATCACAGGAAATTTCAACATAAAAGAGTGGGGATAAATATCTAAATTTTTTTTAAAACTGTTGTAAATATTTATCAAGAAGGATAATGTGTAATTACATTGTTTAACTTTGAAATTTATTGTTATTGCTATTTACAGGGTCAGGTTCATGTCGCTTTAGTTATTCTGACCCCAGCATCATCGTGTCATATGCCAAGAACAATACTGCTGACTGGATTCAGCTTGAGAAAATTAGGTTTGTTGTAATTTAAAGCATTCTCATAAATTCTGATGTGGATGTATTTCAACTTTTCTGTGTTCCTTTATTGTACCACTGACTTCATGTTTAAAAGTACCCCGGTTGTTCATTGTGTTGAGATATATGAGTACACATATTATGACCTGTGCTGCCTGAGGAATATGTTGTTAGAAGTGTTATTTTCCTTTCAGAACTTCCTACCATCCTTATACCAAACTATTTTAGGTGAAAGTATATTTGGGATCATAACCTTTCTGATAGCATCCTCCACCATATAATATCCCCACCCCTTGCTTAGGTGACCTGACATCTGGCCTGGCTTCCAGACCTAGAAGTATATGAAGTGGCAATTTAAATCCCTTCCAGTCTGTGATGATACAGAGTTCGTAGCTACTGAGCCTTTCCCCTCTCATCTCTAGTTCTGTCATTTTCCTTCTAACTTCCTTAAGGTTTTTTTAAAGTCCATTATCATAATTGTGGTGCAACTTGTAATCACATATTATATTTTCTTTATTTAAAAATATTCCTTAATAAGAAAATGAGGTAAGATGCTTGAGGAAGAAGGAACATATTCATTTTGAAAAGATTTGGTTAAATTAGCAAGACTCAAATTATACTTACCAGTTCTTTAGAGTTTAAATCATAAAATAAAATCCAAAATGAATGCTTAATTTCAGGTAAAGATATTTAAAGGAAAAAAATACCTCAAACTTTTATAAAGTGAGTATTATGATTGGGTTAGTTTTTAAATTAGCAGAACTTAAGTAAAATGCTTCCCATCAGTTTTCTAACAGTTTCCTAAGCTGTTTTCTGTAGTCTATTTTCATATTAAAAATACTCAGATTTATTTAGGAGATAAGAATAAATATTAGGTTCATAGGTCTTTAGTACTAAACCAATTTGTACAAAGCTTTTAGTAGTATTATAAAAATAAAAATAAATAAAAGCTTCCCATGTCTAAGCTATAGTTTAAACAAAACTGAGAAAGGTGTTTATAAATCATGGATTTTAATAATATCTGTCTCTCTCTGTGGCAGGATAAAATATAATATATAGGTACTCAGTGCAAGCTGAGCTCTGACAGCTATTCCAGTTTATAACAGAGCATTTTGCTATTCTTTCTAATTTATAGAAGTTATGAAAATGCCTTCATATTAGATACTTATTTAATATAAATGGCTTTAAGTGAGGTAGCATAAATATTAAAAAAATTTACCTGTATCTCCAGTGTTCATTCTAGTATGTTACATTTCATAGCTTAAGTAAATTGAAGTACATATGTCTTGTAGGAAAACAGCTCTATGCTTTCAAATAATAAATAATGCAACTATATATTTAATTACGACATATGAAGATCATGTTCAACTGGCTCCATTTTTTTCACTAAATGATACTTTCAATTTTAGGCCATGTCCAAAATCATCATACTTATTAATGCAAATATCCCTTACTTTTGGGGATCACAGTGAAAGATTTCCAATCACTACCTAAAACCAAACTATATTCTCTTCATCTGTTCAAATTCTTTTTGAAACTAAAAAGATAGTTATCATGAAATATTTTTTAAAAGAGAAGGGAATTTATTACCCTCAAAGGTAAGGAACACCATCTATAATCTACACTGACAAGTCTACACATATATATCGGCTTCATTGGTGAGCAAAAAATTATGGCTTTTCTCGAGTACTTCTAAAATTGATTTATAGCAAGCCCAGGGTACCGCAGGTTTGCATTTTAGTACCATTTTTAATCTTGGTAGGGTGATCATTTTTACTACAGGAGATTTCTACTTTGGTAGAATAAAATGTTTAATGAAAGTATTTTATTATATAGCAGAAAGACCCAGATTCTAACAGATGTAATATAAAAATCATGTTAAATTCTATCATAGTTTTAAAGATTGGCCTACATGAAGTTGTAAAGAATTATAAATGAGTAGTACATCTAATCCTATGGAAACTCTCACATTTTATACAGTCTACACATATGAAAATCTACCTGGTTACTAGAAATAAAATAATTTTTACATAAAGATTGATTATTAAGTATATTGCATACAGTGATCTCTAATTGATGCCTAATTTCAAAGTAAAAATCAACATTAAAATAATGATTTTCTCCTTTTTTTTCTCATTATCAAGTAAACTGTTTGAGATTGAATTTCTGCCACTTGTAAAAACTGTGTCATATATACTTGGATTTTTTTTTTACACAAGCATAGCAGTGTATGCCACTTGTCTTTAATTATTCCTTTACTGGATTACTTGAATATACTTAGTGCCTGCCTTGTGTCACGTGTAAACTTCTTGAAGACCTTTAATATTTAACCTGTCACCACTCAATATGGAAATGGTAGTAATCAGCAGACACTGAAAGATTCAAGGACTATGGGATTATATTTAATCTTTAATTAACATAATACTTTTGAGAATATAGAACCACAGTCTTGAGACAAAACTCATCTTTGAAAAGAAAAGGTGCCTTAACTCTTCATCTCACCATGTGTTTCAGAGCCCCTTCCAACATCAGTACAATCATCCATATCCTCTACCTTCCTGAGGACGCCAAAGGGGAAAATGTTCAGTTTCAGTGGAAGCAGGAAAATCTCCGGGTAGGTGAAGTGTACGAAGCCTGCTGGGCCTTGGATAACATCCTGATCATCAATTCAGCCCACAGACAAGTCGTTTTAGAAGACAGTCTAGACCCAGTGGACACGGGCAACTGGCTCTTCTTCCCAGGAGCAACAGTCAAGGTTTGAGCTCTCTATATTCCTTCTTCCTTCTCAAACCTAAGGCTCAATAAAACAAATTGTTTAAAGATAACTTTTTATACCAAAACCACTTTTAGATGAATAATTGATATTATATCTCTCGTCTTACCCTTTAAAGATGGAACATCACTATTTAAAAACTTTATTTATTCATTCATTTATTTATCAGGTACTTTTTGAGGACCCACTATGCCATGTACCCAGAGCTAAACTCAGAGAATGTCCCAAAAATGCAGCTCTGCTTCTTCCCTTTATATGGATGTCTATTTAGTGGAGACATTTAGACATATCATTATACAAATGCAAAATAGTCTAACTGTTATGATGTTCTGGGAAAGTTTAGTGTGCTTAGAAAGTATAACAGGACCAAATCCAGACTTGGGGAATTAGGCAAGTTATCTTGGAGAATAGGAAATCCAAGCAGAGATTGAAGGGTAATTGGGAGGTAGCCAAGTCAGAAGAATAGTTTTTCTAGGATTGGAAATCTTACGCATAAAGGCTGTGTTATGAACTGAATTGTGTGTCCTCCCAAAAAACTATATGGTGAACTCTTAATTTCAATATCATGGTATTAAGAGTTTGAACTTTTGGGAGGTCATTAAATCATGAGGGTGGAGCCCTTGTAAAAGAGACCCTGGAGAGCACATTAGTCTTCTTTCATCATGTAAAGATACACCAAGAATCAGAAAGTGGGCCCTTACCGGACACCAAATCTTCTAGTGCCTTGGTCTTGGATTTCTCAGTCTCCAGAATTATGAGAAACAAATGATTCTTGTTTAAGCTAACCAGGCTATAGTATTCTGTTATAGCAGCTCAAACTAAGACAGTCTAGAAGATGAAACACAAAGCAAAAGTCTTGGACAAAGGTCACAATAGTTGTCCCACATATTTTAAGTTGAGACTATGGCAGGTATGCTGTGTTTAGCTAGTGATAAGACTTTAAAGATCTTGCAAGCTGCTGAGTTTAAACTCAATCCTGAAGGTGATAGTAACTTGAGTTCTTTAAATAAGAGCCAATCGGATTTTTTTTTTAAATATTCTTTTGAGAACAGAGGACCAAATGGAAAAATGAAAGAGTGTATACAGAGAGTCTCCAAATAGGAGACTGATAACAGTAGTTCAGTGGAAGTCATGTTGTCCAGAATTAGAGAAAAGAGAATGGAGAAATGTGGATGCATTTCATAATTTTTTTTTTTAGGAAGGGCATGAAGAAGGTTGGGGATTGAGTGAGAAGGTGAATGAATGATGGATGTCAAGGACAAGATGTGGGCAGCTAGTTGGACAGAAGTATCAAACAGGAAACAGAAGAATAGGTTCAAAAGAAACCGGTTAATTCACTTTGGACATAAAGATCTTGATAATCTTGGGGACAAGCAAGAAGTATTTGACAGGAGGTTGAAGGCATGGGTCAAAAGCTCAAAGGAAGAACCAAATTTGGCAATTTTCAGCCTATGAATGGGAATTGAAATCATAGGCTTGCCTGTCTAAGAGAGTGTGTGTAAGAGTGAAACAATATGAAAAATGTCATTAGGTCCTCAACTGGATCCCCTCAGGTTTCTAATATAGGAAATAAAGTGCAAATACAGCTTGGAAGATTTTGACTGGGACTTCTTTGCTGAATGGGGTGAGATTACAGAAAGAGTAGTAATAGAAAATAAAGATTTAAAATGCTCACCTCCGTTTAATAATTTGTTTCAGTGCTAGAAAAAGAAGTGCAAATTAGTGAACTTTCAACAAAGAAACTTTCCTGACACAAATAACTTCTCCCTTAACCAGTCAAACCATAGTCATTTTACTTGAACTTGATGAAATGGCACCAATTGTCTGGTCTTAAACATAGGCACCCTCTTCACTCAACTCAGGAAAACATCCCTATCAATCTTATGGGAGAATTTACTGTGACCAAGAGGCTAAAGTCTTGGATCCTTTAAAGAGAGCCCATATATTCCTTTCATGTGGGTGTAGAGAATTTTTGTCAGGATATATATCCTGTGTGATATCCCACTACCATTAGATTAAAAGAGGGATTTCTGCAGTCTTTATTCAACACCGGCAAGCAGGTACATAAACCCTTTTTCCCATGATGATTATTTATCATTTGGTTTCAGTACCCTTTACTGCATAAATGTACATTTTCTGCCTCATTTTACAAGCTATTATACTAATCTCATTAGTTATTTGGTTTCTTAATGCATGTACTTTAGTACTACACGTGATAAAAATGCATGAAGTCTGGTTTTGCTTCAGTGGTAATTTTAATTAAATTGAAACTTTAGGTGGAATATGCTTTTGCACTGGTCTTTCATCCTATTCATAAAACTTACCAGTCACACAGCTGAGAATTAGCAAGGGACCTAAGTCTACCAAGAAAAAAAAATCACTGAAGTAATGATTTTATTTCATTATCTTTGAGTTTCCTGTCATGTAGAAATTTTTCTCTGATTGTTTTAAACTTCAAATAAGTGCAATTAATAAAATCTAAGAATTTTTCCTTGCTCATTTGCATGAGTAAGAAAAATCACTTGGTTTTTTTTTTTTTTGTGGCTCAAACATCTCAGAATGAAAAATTGCTTTTGCCAAGTGATTAAGAGGTCTAGAAATAAAAATGGTTTATTTAAGCTGCAATATTTTTGCCAAATATTGATTTTACTTGGGGCCTCTGAGATGAAAACTGAACATCTACCAATATTCCTGTGGATTACAAGGTGTGTTTTAAAATATTGTCTTGCTTTGAACTTTAAATTATGAGGGCTGTGTTTTTCAACCTATCTTTTCTACGTTCATTGAGCATTTCCATGATATTTCTATCTTGACTAAATCAAAGAGTAAGTCTACCAGCAATTGCAAAAGTATGTTGTATTACAAAATGAAGTCATTTAAGGGAAAAATTTCCAAACACAGATTAAAAAAAAAAAAGATTACTATCTACCTAAGTAATTACAGCTACTTTTTATTGAGCACCTATACTTCTGCCATGTCCTTTTCTAGACATAGATAGATGATAGATAGATGATAGATAGATAGATAGATAGATGATAGATATGCATACATATATACACACACACACACACACACACATAGAGAGAGAGAGAGAACACACACATAATCTCATGTAACTTGATCCTCATAAACTTGAGAAGAAGATGCTATTTAGTACCAATTTTCAGGTGTGGAAACTGGAGCACAGAGATGTTGAGTGACTGAGAAAAAGACACTACTCACCCATGACAGAACCGGGATTCCAATCCAGGAATCTGGCTTTTTGCTCTCAGTTGCCACATAGCTTTGTTCTTATAAGTAATAAGTGTAAACCGATGTGATTCTTGATTGTTCTGTGTTTCTTCCTAATATCCACTGGTTAAATTATCCACTTATTTTTTCCCCACCACTCTCTGGTGGTAGTTAAAAGGTAAATAGGTTAAAATATTCTCGTGTTTCTCATATTTCTTGATCTCCAGTTTTGTTCCATGTGTACTATATGTTCCTTCCTCCAGATGACTGTTTTCTTATTATTAGAATTTAGCAGTTCATCCCAAGCGCTGGCTACTTCTCTCTCTTCCATAGTGACTTTTTATTCAAATGTCTTGTTATTAGCCCATTTCAAGTATTGATTGCTGACCTAAGGTGAACCTGAAGGAGTATAAGAATTGAAATATTTCCCTTATGGAGACAGGAGTTATTTGCTGTGACCCACATAGGAGGTGCCACAGTGAAGGGGCTATAGAACTATAATGTAAGAGAAATCAATCATGCCAACCATCAAGGATCATCTGAAAGGATGCCACTGACAAAAAGTCCAGCATCATTCTTTAGTGCAAATTAAATTATTCTTCCTCAAATTCAAGACTTTTGATGGCTTCCTATGTAGGCCTGAAGGATACAAACCAAACTCTCTCACACACAGTCCCAACCCCTTTCTAATCTTGGTACAGTCTCATTTGTCATTCTCATTCCCTGCCCCTATGTGCTCCAGTGTCACAAATACAACACAGACTTTCACACTTCTGGCCTTTTGGAGCTGGTGTTCTACCTTTATTTTTTCTTTGCCTCATAATTCTTCATCCTTAGGGGCCCATTTCCAACGTCATTATCTCGGTAAAGATTTGTGTGGTGAATGTCTCCCTTCCTGATATAGCACACCACTAGGTTAAACAAGCAGGACTTGCTGGGGTAGAGACTGAATACAGAAAATGACACCATCCTTTTCCAGTGGCCATCAGAATTCATTCTGATAGCTCTTTTATCCTTATTCTCTTTGCACGAAAACTAGGGCATGTCCCAAAAGCACTGATAGACCATTCATCCACTTGCTTTAGTTTCACAGGTTTCTCAATTCAATATCAAATATGATCCCATTCACTATAATAGTGCAAACTCCAAGTTTCACCTACAATTATCTCCCCTCCTCCAGCTTATTTCTGCCACTGTAGGAATGGGGACAATGGGTAGCTCCTTCTCCCTCTTCAACACATCTGATTGATTTCAGGTTCTGGACCCTCCAGACTTGTTCTGGAGAAGAAAGGGCAAGTACTGTTGGGAGTTGGCATTATTGATCCCTAGGTCTAACAAGCTACCAAAGTTGACTCTCCTGAATCTAACAATAGGTTTTATGTAACACTTCTACTCGCCACCAATGCTGGGGATCTCACACCTGCACTTCTCAAAGCATCTCTCAGGCAGGTCAGATGCTTTCTTTTTTAGCTCTTGGACCTGCCATTGTAATTAATGCAATCTCTTTGTACTGAGGGTTTTGTCCCTACATGGAACCTTTGGAGCAGGACCTTAGACAACTTAGACTGCCCCTTGTGCATGGGCCCAAGCTTCAACACTCATCTTGAATCCATCAACAGAAGGAGACTGATTACTTTTTTTTTTCCTGTGCTGCTCAGGTTAAACCTCAATGATCATGAATGCTAAGCAAGCACTCTACCACAGAGCCACATTCCAACTCCAAAAGTGGTTAACTTCTAAGTGTAGCCTTC